AAAACTGAAATGCCATAAGAAAAATACTGCTATTTATTAAGAATATCAGGAAGTTTTAATTTCCTATGCTAAGGAATTTATATCAGCAGACATCTGTAAGGCTCACAGTCTAAAAGTCACTTGATGAAGTTAGAATAAATCCCCTGTCCATGTCCCTTAAGATTGTATGACAACTCTCCTGTTGTGATTTTAAAAATTTTATTGAGTTTCTTAGCTCAAATTTTATATTTATACATTTTGAATTTTCAAATTTACAGCATCACTGCATTCCCCACACCGACCTGACAGAGGGAACTTACTAGTACTGTATCTTGGGAGGTGCTTTGTAAAACAGGCTTTGGGGAAGGTTAGGTTCAGGAGTCTGTAGGATCCCTTTCAACTCTGAATAGTTTTTATATATACTATTATTTATTTATTTATTTATTATTTATGGGATTGGGGAGTGAGACACACATGCCACAGTATACAAGTACAAGTCAGAGGACATGAGGAGTCAGTTCTCTCCTTCCACCATGTGGATCCCAGGAATCAAACTCAGGCTGTCAAGACTGCTGGAAAGCACCCTTCTCATGAGCTACCTATCACACTGCCCCTGAAGATTGTTTTCTAATTGATTATCACTTTAATAAAAGCTAAGTTTTCCGAGCAAATTTAAAAGTGAGTTAACAAAACACTTACTATCTGACACAGGCACTTGTGCTCATTGACGAGTTTTTCCAGAGAGAGACATTCAATCACATCAGCTTCTCCTAAAGCCCCTTCCTTGTCCTGTTTATTTGCCAATCTAGGAAGATAAATGAAGTGTTTGTACAGAGATATATACTAACATGGCAACTTAAATGTATTTTTCATGTTCTTCTGCTCCAAAATTATAAATCTACTGATTATAGAACAAGTTGGTTTTAGAAAATATTGGAATACTGATTTCATCACTTTCCTTATTTATTATTGAAAAAGTCAAGTTTGAAAGAAGAGGTTACTAAAAGAATATCGAGTTTACAGAGACAGCACAACCAGTCAATCAATAGGCCAGTAAATAGCTACCAAGAGAAAAAGAAATAGGCTACTTTCTACAGCCCACAAACAGAAAGTAGGTTCTTATCTTATTAAGAGTAATGCTGGGAGGAATGCACACTAGTCCAATCACTATGGAAATTAGCATGGAGGTTTCCCCACAACTCCCCTTCTACACACAGTCATTTTCAAGACATTGTTTCCTTTTGAAAACATAAACAAATATATGGGTAAGTGATATTTTCAAGTTCACAATTAGAGCACTATGGATATTCACTGGTATTACTGGCATGTTTCTATATGTATAATATTTATATCTACCTACCCTTTCTTTTAAAGGTTAGCCCACCATACGGACTTTTATACCATGACTTCTTTTTAACTTGAAATTCAATCCTGAAATTACGCTGATGCAGAATAAAGGAATCTTCTTTACCTCATAACATAGATGGTCCAGCATTCATTTGCCTGTCCTACACTGAAGGACTTTTGTCTTTCTACTGCTTGTTTTCACAATAAATGCTGTGAGGAAGGGAACAGATTCCAAGAAGGGGACTTCGAAGAACAAACCTAAATTTTACTTCTATTACGATAATGTTCACCCTACCTTCAAACAATATCTCCAGTAGAAAACAAGAAAAAAAGGATTTAGAAATTTGTGGCTATGAGGAAAATTTTCATTCTTTTTCTTACAAGTATTTCTTCTTTATTGAAATGAATTTTGATTTTTATATTGATATAATAAACAACACTACCGTGCAATTTGGTTTTTCTATATTGAAAACTATAGAAGAAACTTATTCTAAAGTAAAAGCATGTAAGAAAAAGAAAAAGGGGTGGAAGGTTTAAAGATATGAGGTCTCTAAATGTTTCTCCAATTCCATTTCTCTTTATGCCTACTTAATTCTGCATTTTTAGCAGGTTTTGAAATCTATAAAAAAAAAAAACCCTTTTGTTTAGATACAACACCATTTTTTGGAAGTAAGGAATTCTATAGATAATGTAGGACTAATTACAGAGGCTACTCAATGCGCCATGCAGGCACTTTAACAAGGACTTCCTGTTAGCAACTCCCTCCAATGAAAATGATCTTCCTTTAATCTGAAGAATAGGTGTCTAACAGGCAGAACCAGATTCTCCAGGTGTGAAGTAAGCAATCTGTGCTTCTCATTTGATTTTAACAGCAAATCTACAACTTTATCTCCAACTTATTTGACTTCATTGTTTGGCTTTCAATTAACTATATGAGCACTACTAAGAAATCAGCCCATGGCTCATAAGCAGAGATTTCAACACTGGATCAAGCATTACACCCGATGGCACTCAGATTCTCTCCAAGAGGAAAGACTCCTACACCACAAGTAGGAAGACAACGAGAGGAACAAGGCAGCCAGGTAAATATTATTTTCTTGTGCTTTTTAAAGTGAAATAATTTGCAGTAAAATCTCGTCACACTGTGAGAGTGAAGGCTCGGTGGGTCACTAAAGTTACTTCTTTTGCTCTGATTTGCACAGAGCTGCAGGCAGCTCATCTGCTCATAAATGCTACTGGTGAACTGAACACAAGATTTAGGTGCAGAGATCTTAATCAACTTTATAAGATTTTTTATTAATTCTATAAAAGTGACTTCTAAGTGTAATCCCTTGAACTCTTAAAGAAATATACTGATTGCTTTACTCTTTGGTACTTTTTATTTCAAGATAAAAGCACGGTATTCCTTCAAAGAACAGAAATCCAAGAAAAGATTCACAGGAGTTAAAGTAAATAATTTTGGTTTCTAAAATCAATGATAATAAAGTTCACCTTTCCAGTGGGTCTTTACAATGGTATAGTGTGCTACAATAAAATATGAGATAGTCTACTTCTTAAAGAAAGAGTTAAACTGCTAGAGTTTAATATATTAAATAAATATTTATTTATTCAAATGATATTGCTACTGGCCATCATTACTATAGTATATTTCATTAGAATAATAAATAATTCAAGAAATAGTAGTGAATTTCCACAATACCAGAAGAATAAAGAGAAAACAGCCAGTTTCATGACATGGGACATAAAGACAGATCTCAAACAAAAGATAAGGATCAGACAGTAGATGTCTCAGGGGCACCAAAGAAAGCTAGAGTACAACATAGCAAAACTTTGAAACTTTAATTCTGTATTCATTTTATTTGTGGTGTGTATGGGGGAGGGGGGTAGAGAATGCCACAGTGTGGATGTGGAGATCAGAGGACAGCTTGCAGTTTTCTCCTTCCACATGTGGACCCTGAGGATCAAACTCGGGTTGTCAGTCTTGGCAGCAAGTATCTTTATTCACTGAGCCATTCTGCTGGCCCAAAACTTTTAAATTTTAAGGAAATATACTTTTCAAGTCATAAATATATCTCCAGAAAATATACTGCTTAGATGGAAGGATAATATAAAAATATTTCCAGAAATACAAGTTATCACATTTTAATCCACATCTTTTATAGTAGAAATATAATATCTAAAATTGAAAGCAGAAACACCTATGTAAACAAATTACCTAGAAATACGTAATTTGAAACAACATATAGTTAAGGAGATGATAACGATTGCCTTTGGGAACAGTAAACTTGAAATGGGGTGGACTAGGAAAGTCAAGGGTCAGATGTATATATCTTTCTAACCTTGATCTGACATCTTAAACTGTTTCTGTATTAATTTAAAAAAAAATAATCACACTTCGATAAAGCTAATGTAACATGACATATTAGCTATTTGGGGAAGGAATTTAATTTCAGTATCAATAGGTAAATGATAACACTAAATCAGGAAAAGGATAGTAGGAAATAGCTTCAATAGCTATATTTAAGACAACCCATTGTTAACTGACTAAAAATAAATTCCTTCACCCTGGAGAAGACAGGAGTTTTATCAGAAGTATATACTAAATCATGGAAGGTACTTTTGTTTCCACAAAGCTGACACAAGAGAAAGTTTCTATAGTTACTTCCCACAACTATTAGATGTCTTTGAATAGATGTATCAACATAATCACCAAGTATTTGATAAAATTCTAAATACAGACGTGCATTATTTTAGCTTTATGTGATATATACATGTGAAGAGAATTATGCTGTGCATCTTGCTGTGGAGAAAGCTCTGCTGGGGAGCGTGTTTTGAATAGAAGGACGCCCAAGCGCGCCCATGACGCCTCTCAGTCCCCACACACACAAAATGAGAAAACCAGTATCTTTACAGATCTTTCTGCAAGCAAATGAGAACATCCAATGCTGTGGGAGTGGTCAGGTTCTCTTCTCTGGGAAACAAAAGAGAACTACCCTTTCCTACCCCCTTGTCTTGGGTTGGCTGAGAAGTGGGAAAGGAAAATGGCATGGAGCACTGTGGAGCGGGACTGCTGTGACTCATGGGAGAGGCTCAAGCCTTTCTTCCCAATACAGAATCGGACACATTCAGAAAAGTCCAAGTAACTAAAATGGAGACCAGAGCCCCCCAAACACATCATGGACATGAATTTGTGAGTAAGAACTGCTCTATACATTAGCCCCAATGATTTGGGAGTAGTTACTACAGTGTCCTATCTTTCCTGGGGAAACAGGACTAGGCTGAATAACAAACTAAATATTCATAAGTTAAATTATTTTGGAAAGCTAATAATATTTTCAATATAACTTCATTAAAATGTACATATTGGTCATAATTAACTATAATTAATTATAAAGTATAAATACACACAATTAATAAAATAATTCATCTAGTATTGTTAAAAAAGAGGGAAGAACTGCTAAATGTGATGATGTGCATTTGTGACCTCAGCACTGAGGAGGTAAAGGTAAGATGATTGAGTTCAGGGCCAGCCTAGGTGACACAAGACCCCATCTCAAAAATCCAAGGCCTATGGTTGTGAGATGACCCAGCAGGTAAAAGTGCCTCCACCCAGCCTGGGTAAGACCAAGGGGTATATGCACAGTTCAGTGGGGAAGTGCTTACCTATCATGTGCAAAGAAAGCCCTAGGTTTACTCTGCAACACATGTACACATACATGAGCATGTGGATGCACACACAGACAATACACATGCAAACCCTATACAAATAATAAAATAAAATGAAGATAAAACATAAAACATGAGACTATCAAATTTTCTACACATAACTGATTGCTCTAGCACTGAAATATTTCCCAATCAAAATCAGTATTTCCATTATAACAGAGAACATAAATAATAATGCATTCTATTTTATTTCCTAGGTATACAGAAAAATGGTAAGAAATATAGTTCTAGAAGATACACCTACCATACAGATCAATAACTATTTTTATGTTGACCTACATTCTTAGCATACAAAATTAGCAGCAGTATTTATATAATCTTTTATTTTTTGACTAATTTTCACCTCACAAATTACCCAAATTTAATATCATAGCTTATTATTATTCACTTATATCTGTGAAACTCAGCTTTGTTTCTTCTAATCTACTAGTCTTTATCAGAAGGTGGTGAAATCATTCCTTGCAAGGGGAGCAGGAAACACAGAATGACAAAGTGAAGGGCAAGTAGAATCCTTTCCCAGCTTCGAAGCTTCTTATTTTGAGTTTGGTTTTTACTATTACTTCACCAAATTAGGGCTGAGGTTACAAGCTACTTGAGTTACATATGTAAAATACTCAAAGGAAACGGAATACTCCAAATGCCCTAGAGACAACAAAAGTTGCAACACAGTAAGAGCAAAACAACTCAGACCAAATGTTTCTGAGTAAACTTCTAACACCTATACAGGGAGTTTTATGTAAAAACAAACAAAACAAAACAAAACAAAACAAAAAAACACATTTAAAGGCCTAACCCTTGTGATGTGATATGACAGCTTTCCTAGTTGCTTGATCTATGTAGTTAATTATTTTCAGATTTATCCTATATCCAGACAATCTCTCTCTAGCACCTAACACCAAAAGGAAGTTTTATAGGACAACAAAGAGTCGTTTTTGAAAGGAGAATGCCAGAATTCAAACAGCAACCATCACTAGTGACACCTTAGTTAAATGACTGAAACTTGTAACTTCATTTATCAATAAAATTAAGACCATGATAACAGCTAATCTAAATTTCTTATAAGAACATACAACAAATGTAGAATAGTATCTAACCCACATTGAGAACTCACATAAATATAAGATATTAAGAAATTGGTATGAGTGCCAGGTGTGGTGGTGCACATCTTTAATCCCAGAACTTGGGAGGCAGAGGCAGGGAGATCTCTGTGAGATCCAGACCAGCCTGGTCTACACAGTACATTCCAGGCCAGCTGGGGATACAGGGAGACTCTATCTTAAAAAGAAGAAAAGGGGGGGGGCGGGGCTGGAGAGATGGCTCAGAGGTTAAAAACACTGGTTGTTCTTGCAGAAGACCCGGGTTCGAATCCCAACACCCACATGGCAGCTAACAACTGTAACTCCAGTCCCAAGGGATCCAACAGCCTCTCCTGACCCCTGCAGACATTGCACGACACGGGTGCACTTACCTACATGCAGGCAATACACGCATACACAAAATAATAAAAGAAAAAAAGAAATAATATGAGAATTCTATAAATATCAAGATTGTGGGTATATCACAATGACTACATCTTCCATGGGGATTTTATTTGGGAGGAAAAGTAGAGAAGTAGAGAATGAATTAAATTAGTAAAAGATATAGTATTAAACAGCAAGAACTCAGAAGACACTAAGTTGGGAAGGGTCAGAGATTTGAGAGGGTGGCAGTCGTAGATCCTGAATGGGTGGCCAGGGGCAGTCTTACCAGGAGGGTGACATTGCAGCAGGGCCTAAAAGAGCAGGAGGAATATGATTAGACATGCATTTCACAGGGAGGAACATTCCAAACAGAAACTGCAAGGCTGAAGCCCTAAAGATGAACCGTGCCGAGTTTGAATGAAGAACAGCAAAAAATGGGGCTGAAGCAGAGAGAGGAGGACAGTTTCAGGAGATGAAACCAAAGTGATAAGAGGAGATAAGGAAGTCATAGAATCTTACAGGCTCTGGCTTTTCCTCTACAGTAAAGGAGGGTTTCTACACAATAATCAAATGTATTTCAACTATATTTTGTACTGAGAAGATAGGAAACGGGAATGCCAAAAAGGAAACACAGATGAGCACTTACAGCCCATTACAGTAATCCAACTGAAAAAATGATTTGGCCCAGACTGGAAGAGGTGGCTGACTCCCATATGCCATGAAAGAAAGGCTGACAACAAGGTTTGTGAGTTGTTTGGAAATGAGGAGCTATTAGCTAAATACAGAAACCACTGAAAAAGAAAGCAATCAAGACTGATTCCCAAGTTTTTGGTTCTGAGCCACTGAAAGAACAGAGCTGCCATTGAGTGAACTGGAACAGTTCCGGCTTTGAGAGGAAGATCCCAGCCAGACTCATTTTAGATACAAACACTGAAGTGGAGCTTGGCAAGTAGAGGGTATTTTGAGAGCAATCTAGCTTTAAACGAACAGTATTTAATACCATGGAACTAAAAATGATTGGGGATAGTAAGAAGTTTTACCCTGTGAACACTCAACATACACAGAGAGGCCTTGCCTGACGTCCTGCCAGGATCTTATGTACTGCTTTATTCTCTTTTTATCCATTTTTATTCTATTGCTCACCTTGCAGATTACACACTCCTCAGGACAGCTGAATATACTATAGCATGTAGTAGGCTTCAGTAGTTATTAGACAAAATGCCAGCCCTTTAAAGTCAAAGTAACATTTTTAGGACTCAGACACTGATTTAACTTTTTACCTAAGGCAGACATGACTTCAATACTGTCTTCAATTAAGCCATTATTCAGGAACATCCTGAACAGAGCATCTCTAATGATGGAGAGGGTCTCACACATGAGGTAGTCCATGTCTGTGTATAATTTCCACTTCTTTCCATTTGAAATGATGGCAAGTAAGTCTAGCTCTGTTGTATAAACAGACTTTCTTTTTTTTTATTTTTATGTCTATGACATGCAATGCCCACAGAAGCCAAAAGAGGATGTCAGATCCCCTGGAACTGGAGTTATGGACAGTTGTTAGTAGCCATGTAGGTGAATGGGAACAGAACCCAGGTCCTTTGCAAGAGCAGTCAGTGCTCTTAACTGCTGAGATATTTCTCCAGCCCATTTATAGACAGACTTTTTGCATTTCAGAAAATAATTCTGTATTGTATCTTTTCTCACACATGGCAAAGAAAAGATTTAAATTTCTTTCAACAATTCTCGAGTTTGTACGGTTTTGTAACTCCATCCTTTCCTTTGGAAATTTCTACTTTATGAATTTCCATCACAAAACATACTCAGAACTTAAGACAGCTTTACTCCCAATATGTTATGAATAGCATAAATTTACTGAAGCAAATATCGTTCTTACTGAACCTAGACATCATGCTAGTATTTACTATTCTGATAGGTCTGAGTAAAAGCATGTAGTGAACTGTAATATTTTCACAGATACTGTTGTGAAACAAAGGACCTTCCATTTTGTAGACAAGATGTTTTCTTATAAAACAATGAAAGTATTTTATATCCCTTTCAGTTAAATATGTTTTTGTTGTTTTTATATTCAGTATATATGTTCAATGCTAAATTTAATCTTTGAATCCCAACCCCACTTCAGGAGTACAAAGATCTCTCCAAATTCTGTATCATCCACATATTTGATGAGTATACCTTTTATGACAAGATGCAGATCATCGATAAAAATAAGAAATTGTGGGCCTAGACAGATGGGTCAGTGGTTAAAAGCACTGGCTGCTTTTGTAGAGGACCTGGATTTGAATCCCAGCACCCACATGGTGGCTAACAACCGTCCATAACTCCAGTTCCAGGGGATCTGATGCTCTCTTCTGACATTCTCAGACATTACATGGCATGGGTGCACTTACATACATGCAGACAATACACTCATACACATAAAATAAAAAATTGAAGTATCTTAAAAAAAGAAATTATATAAACATGTTAATAGACTAAGTCCCACAGTTTAACTATAGCCTATCAGAGACCCTTTTCTCTGGTCAGGACTAAAATGGTATGTGTGGTCCAATGAGCTATTTATATCCCAAAGAGCCTCTTCAAAAATATGAATGGTGGTAAGAGCCTTTCTAAAATCAAGAAGCATCAAGAAAATATAGTGGCTTATGAATGACTGCTTTTATTCATCTCATTTTATGTGTGTGTGTCATTACCTTACCAAATGATTAGATTCCTATCGACAATTAAGAGTACAGGATGTGCCAGATGTGGTAGAGTATACCTTTAATCTCAGTACTCAAGAGGCAAAGCAGGAGGATCTTGTGAGTCTGAGGCCAGAATGGTCTACATAGCTAGTTCTAGGTCAGCTAGGGCTGTATAGTAAGGCCCAGTCTCAAACAAACAAAGCACATGATGTGACAAATACCAGTATTAACAGTAATCTCAAAATAAATTTCTATATAAGTATGTTTTCAAGTATCTAAAGATATATCAACACCTGTGTACATGTGGGCATGCACACTCACAGATACAAATATACATACATGTAAAATAAAAATAAATGTCTTAAAGGGGGGTATGGAGAAGTGGCTCAGAAGTTAAAAGCATGTACTGTTCTTGTAAAGAACCCAAGTTTGGTTCCCAGCATCCATGCTGAGCAGCTCACAACTGCGTAGCTCACAACTCTAGCTCCAGGGTGACCTCTGTCCGCCACAAGCACCTGAATTCCAGTGCACATACCCATACACAGTCCCATACACCTACCCATAAGTAATAAAATTTTTTAAAGGTCATGTAAATAACACTTTAATCAATTGAGATGCTTCAATTATGTTTACTGCTTAAAATTCATAGAGAATTTATTCGTTGTACTGGTTTAAACTTAATTATGCATTTTAGCAAAATGAGTGTATCTTTAACATGACATATACCTAATTAACTGGGGACAGCATCTTTAATAGTAAAGTTATTTTGGGAGTCTAAAGGTTAATCCTAAAACCTAAAGTACAGTCAAAGCAACTTTTATTAAGAAAAATGTTGCAGATAGTATGACAAGCAATGAACATATCTGGAGGCAACCGTACTGCCATCATGGCTGTTTCAGCTACTGTACTCAACTAACTTGAACACACAGCAGCCCCAGTCATCCAAAAGAAGTTACCAATTACCTATTATCTTACATTACTTTCCCTATTTCAACAATCTTTATGAGGAAATTCCTTTGGATTTTCCTTTTATATTTTTTGAGATTAGTTCTCACTATGTAGTCTAGGCTGGCCTTAAATTCCCTATGGCCTAGGATAGTCTAGAATTTGCCATACTCCTGCCTCAGTCTCCCTACTAGGAATATAAGCATGACTGGTCTTCCTAATATTTTAAACTTCCTTTCAGAAAACTAGAATTTTTTCTGGGAGATAGACAACTATCTCACACCAACTGCTAAAGGGGAAAAATAGCAAATTCTTCTCTGTTTAATTCAATTATCTTTATGTCTTAGGAGGAAAGGGAAGATGAAAGACCGACTTCAAGAACTAAAACAGAAAACAAAGGAAATCGAACTCTCTAGAGACAGTCAGGTGTTGTCTGTGGAAGCAGAGGAACAAGGGGTGTTTGTCCAGCAAGCTGTTATTTATGAAAGAGAGCCTGTGGCTGAGAGACATCTACATGAGATCCAAAAACTGCAGGAGAATATTAACAATTTTGCAGAAGATGTTCAAAGATTTGGACAGCAGCAGAAAAGTTTGGTAGCCTCAATGAGAAGGTTTAGTCTCCTTAAGAGAGAATCTACCATTGCAAAGGAAATAAAAATCCAAGCAGAACACATTAACAGAGCTTTGGGTGATTTAGTTAAAGACGTTAAAAAGTCAGAGGCAGAAAATGGTCCATCATCGGTGGTCACAAGGATGCTTAAGTGTCAGTATACAGCTATGTTCCACCATTTTCAGCAAACCATGTTTATATACAATGACACAATTGCAGCAAAGCAAGAGAGGTGTAAGACATTTATTTTCCGTCAGCTTGAAGTGGCTGGAAAAGAAGCTCCTGAAGAAGAAGTAAATGACATGTTACAACACGGCAAGTGGGAAGTGTTTAATGAAAGCTTACTTACAGAAACCAGTATCACTAAAGCACAACTCTCAGAGATTGAACAGAGACACAAAGAACTTGTTAATTTGGAGAATCAAGTAAAGGACTTGAGGGATCTGTTCATTCAGATATCTCTTTTAGTAGAGGAACAAGGGGAGGGCATCAACAATATTGAAATGATAGTGAACAGCACAAAAGAGTATGTTAGCAACACTAAAGAGAAATTCGGACGAGCTGTAAAGTACAAAAGAAGAAATCCCTGCAGGACCCTGTGCTGCTGCTGCTGTCCCTTCTGCAGTTCAAAATAAGCTATTTCAAAACCTTGTCCAGCTCTAGCTGAAGGTGTCCACATTTCAGTGGCTTGTTTTGTTTTTCTTCACTTCAGGGGTCCTGTCACACACATTTCATCATGGATAAGAGATCATATTTCCCTTTAACTTTTACCTACTAGAATTCTAGAAATTTCTGAAGTAAGTGACTTAATTAAAATTTTTAGGGTAATTACAAAAAATGAGATGAAAGATCTTAAGTTTCTAGATAGATGCTATTGTATATTTCCATGATATTAAGAGGATTTGAGAATATTTTGCTAGTTAAGAATGATATAAAACAATATCTCAAAGGATGCCACAATAAATCAAAATCAACCCAAAATGTCTATTAAATCTTTTATCCTCTAACCAGTGAGTTATTTCAGTAATGAACAGGTCCTGGGAAAACTCAATTATGAAGCTGGTGAAGACTCAAGATCGGGCCTAAGAAGGTGAGGTAAGACACTGTTTTCTTGAACTTGGATCTATCTAGGACATTGAATTACATACATATCAGAGGGCTCAGCAACATCAGGATACGGGTAATTGTATTACTGAACTTTTGACATCACTTTATGATAAAGTGGAGCACTATCTTATGGACCACGGATACTGGATGCTCTCACTCAGAAATAGGTTAGGAATTCACATTCTAGAAACAAATAACAGATAGACCTTTAAGATTATGTTACGTTCCAGCAGACACTTAAAACATGGGTGATGAGAGGAGGCAGAGGTCATCAGGATGGCTTTGCTAGGGTAAGTGTCAGGGGAAGTCTTTATCAAAGGCAATATATCTTTTTAATGACAATGGTGGCAAATATTTATTGGAGAGAAATATTACTTCATAATAACAATAGGGACAAAACTATCCTGCAGATGACTAAGTTGCTTTTACGTACAGAATATAGTGAAATTTCACTAAAAAGAAAAAATGTAAATTAATGAAGAAACATATTATGTTTCTGAGTAGGAAGAGTAAATATCTTTACAGTATATGATTTCTTTTCCAAAGGCAATATTTAAGTGTGTAAGTGATGATGACAAGGCAGGTTTACAATCAGGCATAAGAAACAAAGAGTATGAAGACTCCAGGAAGAGTGACTTGCTCCATTAAAGAAAAAAGACAGTACAGCTGGAGTATAGAGGGAAAAGGAGTGAGATAAGATGAGGTGAAGAAAAAGCATAGCTAGGCTTGGCAGTATATACAGTGTGATCTTAGCACTCTGCAAGCCAAGTTAGGAAAATCATGCAAGTTTGAAGACAGCCTGGGCTGGTATCAGGTGAGTCTAAAGCTAACCTCGGTTATTCGATAAGGAGGCTTTGTCTTATTTTTAAAAAGAGAGGACAGAAAGGAAAAAAAAAAAGGTCACGGGGTGGTTTAGAATGGACTCAGCAAGGGTGAACAGAATAGAGGACTGGCATGCAGACACAGAAGAGAATCAAGGTCACTGAAGTTCCTGTAAGGGTCGACGAATGCTAGAAGTAGCAGAGGAGTGAAATCACACACAGCTAATCAAGACTTGAACCCAGATAGTCTAATGCCCAGAGTCTGCTCTTATCAACTACAAAATACACAGGGTGAAAGAAAAACAGGACGAATTTAAGAAGTTAACTCTACAGGATACTGAATGATGATAATATTTAGTAAAATGGAAAATGACAGAGATGAAGGCTTCAGATTTGACAGTGTGAAAGAAATCAAGAATTCTATTTTAGTAAAAACAACCTGAAATGACTACAAAATGTCAAAAGTGGAGGTTTGTATATTGGTTATATCACTAGGAGTGTTTGGGATATGTGTTTGGGATATGTCAGGATAACACCACAAGAGCAGTTTCCGGGAAGTGAAGAAAAAGGGCACAGGTGTGTGTGCTATGGAAAGAGTGCACAAGAGGTCTCCTAGCCACTAATGGTCATTTTTTTTTCCAAGCGTGTGAACAGGGCCCTCTAAGAGGAGTTAATATCTGAAGAGACTTGTGCTGAAGGGACTTCAGGATGTAATAGTAAGAAGCACAAGAGCATGCTCTGCTGATGGCAATGAACCAGAGGAGGAACTCCTGAGATTAGAAAGAGAAGGAATAATCTGCTCAGGGTTTAAATGGTTGGGATATGGAGGACACACGTGGAGACACTGCCTTGGGTAGGAGTGGAGATAGTGCGTTCCATACTGTAAGGAAGGCAGGCAGAGTGTATGAGGCAAACATATCAACTACAGTACAGCAGAGTTAAGGGAGAACTGGGCAAGAGGCAAACGAGTGAAACAATCAGATTGGAGGGAAGGACATCCCATAAGAGGAGGCTGGAGAGATGGCTCAGCAGTTAAGAGCACTGACTACTCTTGCAGAGGACCTGGGTTCGATTCCCAGCACCCACATGGTGGTTAACAACCATCTGTAACTCCAATTCCAGTGAGATTCGATGTCTTCCTTTCACCTCCATGGGCACTGCACAACATAGGTGCACTTACACACATGCAGGCAATATGCTCACATACATTAAAAAAAAAAATAGTTGATAAGAGCAATAGAGGATAACCAGGCAGTATTTAGGGCTCATCTATGCTTTGTAACCACTTTAATGAGATCTCAGCCAATGTGATGTGTATTTTTAACCCAGGAATATTTAGCTACTTGGGTGCTGGCAGAGGATATGCAGACACAGGGTCTGCTCAGGGTGGCAGCTTTTCTACACTTGTGCAATGGAGGAAAAGTGTGTTGAGAGTTGGTTAGCTGAAAGGATTGAATTATCGTATGCTACAGCATACAGATATTATGAAATAATTTTAATTTAAAAATATAAATTGAATGCTTCCCACTGTGTCAATTATCAAGCATCACTGTAGAAAAATGAATTTTACATATCTAGACTTCAAATGCTTAAGAAACATTATAAAAAAGATTCATTTAAAACAGATGATTAACTCCACAGCTAACTGGGTAATTATGGCCATTACCTCCTCTGTTCCTTTTAAAATTATATTTAGAGTTTTAGTGGCACTGATTATAGTTGTTCCTAAATTATTTATCATGAAAACTGAGACTATTAAGTACTATTTAATATGCATCAGTTCAATTATACCCAGATGGATTTGTAAAAAGGTTTATTCTATTAGTATTTTATCATGCTTTTAAAGTAAGGCTTAGGTAGAGGTTCACTGCAAAGCAAAACAAGATTTCCATTTCTTTGCTACATTTTTATCATATTAATACATATGAATTACATACATAAATGGTTCCACTATAACGCTGTGTTGGATAAGCTTGTCCACCAAGTGGCAAGTCACACTGGCAAGCAAGGCAATCACCTCAAACTAACTGGACTATAAAATTCTCCATAGGAGGGGAGGGGCAAAGGGAGACAGTCACTCCTCCCACCCAATCAGTCAGCCTTAACTGCATGAGGGGGAAGGGACTAAGGATAGGGACAGGGGAAGCCAGAGAGAGGAAAGGCACTTCACCATCTTGGAACAGCTGGCAGCAGGTCAGGAAGCCACAGCTGGAATGTACAAAAAAAGGCACAAGGGTGCCCACACCTTTGTAAGCACCCCCTCACCGCCACCCTACACTCTGTTAGCATCCCCAATAAATACTTTTGCTCCATTTCCTAAACGATAGTTTGGAGGAATATTATCTTGGTTTGTTGTAACGAATGTGAGAGGAGGGGACCACTCCAGGAGTCTGGAAGCCATGTGTTTTGCTTGACAGTATCCATCCTGTGTCCCTCTTACCCTTCCTTCCCTGGTAGTTGCTTAACTACAATCAAGTTGTCTATTTTTCTGGGGGTTTTTTTGTTTGTTTTTTTAAGTTCTGAATTCTACTTACAAGACAAAAGATATATTTTTCTCCCTGTCTCTGGATAACGTCACTTAACCTGGTGACATCTAATGGCACCTATTTTCTTACAAACGAGTTGACTTTGTTCTTCTATGTGGCTAAATGATACTCAGCTGTGCTGATGGGCACCAAGGCTGACTATACCTGTTAGAGTGCCTCACTGCTAGGTCTTCAAATCCTTCAGTAAGATCCTATCCTAAGCAATAAGAACAACATATTTAAGTTATCGGTTGTTGACCATTTTGTATATTTTATTTCCATGCTTAATAAAAAGCATAAGCAGCAATTTTTTTCTTAAAAAAACTATTTCAAAGGGAAAATAATTCTCAAAAGAGTTGAAGGGATAATATTAAGTATTGATTGATTTTGGAAATGAGATAATAAAAATAATAAATAATAAAAATTATTATGGACATTTGGGTGCATATTTATAACCACTAAATTCTACAACGTTCTGTAATCATAAGCTTTATATTTTGAATTCACATGTCACTTTGACACCAACATACCATCAGATATGAAAATGAAGTCCATCATCACAGAGAACATTAGGAACCTATACTGCTTGCTTCCAAAGCATTATCTGAAGTTTACTTAAGAGCACTGAGATTCAAATCCTTACTTACAAAGGAAGCCAACAGACGCTAAGAAAGAGTAACTTTCTGCTAGGTGTGGTATCACCCCTTGCAATCCTACCCAGGGCCCATCTAACTCCAAAGTCTTACTTTCTCAACTTCAGTTCTTATCACAAAGCATTCATGATCTCACTCAAAAATTCTGGAGGTCTGGGCTGAAAATGGTGATGCAGGAGGTTCATGGCAACAAGCTGCTGACTAACAACACTGTCAAACAGTCTTTCTTTGTTAGTTTTTAAATGGAGTGTAACAGGGAGTGGGAAAGAGAGACACAGGGTAAAGAAGCGAGGCTGTGAATCAATACTGTATGTAAATGGGGATGACAGCTACAGAAGATTACACTGCAAGGAGACAAAGCTCACACCAACAGATCCTATAAATTCAGCAAGTTGAGGGCTCAGAGCTTGGAGCTAGTCACTTAGAGGCCTCACATCTATATCTAAGAACCAGCTGGTTATGATATAACATAGATGCTTACCGGTCTCTAGTACACTATAGAGTGACCCAATATGATGTAATAAGAACATATGACCACTCCAGAAGTTCAACTGGGCTAACACAAGTGAAGGTATTATTATGCAAGGAAAGTTTAGCCTGTGAGTCCAGAGACAGTCTAGATGAAGAATTAGGTAATTCAGCCCTTCTCCAAAAAGGGTAGGGAGATGAATGTATTATCGAAGGAAGATTTTCAAGACTATACAAGAGAGGAGGTCTAGAAAGAGCATCTGTCTGCTCATGACACTGTTATAAACTAAGGCTGAAAATTTCAATATAATAAGATATTAACATACCTTCCAATTCAGTTTATTTGATAGGAAATCAGGTAGTGCCTTGTACTATTGATGCAAAGTATAGTAGATGCTCAGTAAGTATTTACTGAATTAATATATACATGAAAGAATGCACAAAATAAATGAAAAAATGACTAGTTAAAATGAACATAGTATTTCATAGATGACAAACACTCAATATGCTTTTACTTTTAAAATCATTGATTTTCTATTTAAACATTGTAGTCATTACTTTAGGCTGCAGGGTTCAATAAAGGTCACTTTTCATGTTTTTAAAATTATTTTTATTGTATGTGTATGAGTGTATTGCCTACATGTATATAAGTACACCAGTGTCACGTAATGCCCGCAGAAGTCAAGAAGAGCCACTTAACTGCTGAGCTATCTCTCCAGTCCCTTCATTTTATCTGAGATTCAGTAAAAGTAACACTAGATCATATAAACCAAGTAACTTCAAAAATTAAACATGTAAAAGTTTAAAAGTAAAATCTTTACTGATAAATGATGTAATAAAGTTTTAACTGTTGTAATCAAAGCTTCTAAGTGGTCTCATTTAAAATATTCACTGGCTACTGAGAACCATGAAGAAACTCTTCTTACATCTTTTTTCATCTAAGCATGATAGATTTTTTTCCTGACCTTACTAAGGAAGTGCAAGAATGAAGACAAAAGGACAACAGGCAAGGGAAAATTCTCAGTTAACTTCCAGTAAAAGACCAATTTAAACTAGCCTATTTTGCTTTACTTGGTCTCTGTTACGGCACCACCTGCCGTTTACTGTGCATAAAGGCTGTAATGACAAACTTCCTTCTCAGGTGAGGCTGGAAGGACAAAATGCTGTAAGTGAATGAATGGCTGAGAAGATAAAGACAGATTACACATGCAATACAGAATGTAGAAGTACAGATTGAGAAATCAATGTCACTAGAAATTAAAGCATTTAAATAACTTCCAAACAAGATACTCCAGAGAAAAGAGCAGGAAGGCTGCAGGCAGAGCGCACTTGGCGGAGTGCTTGCCTGGCAAACACAAGACTCTCTGGGTTTGATCATGGCGTCTCACACCTGTAATTCCAGCTCTTGAAGATCAGAAGTTCAAGGTCATCCCTGACTACATAACAACCTGGACACTGGCCTGAGCTACACAAGAGCCTGTCTTGAAAAAATAAGCAAAGAAAAAAGGACAATGAAAAATATAAGTTATTAAAGGAAGAAGCTGGGCACAGTGGCACCCAACACCTGAAATTCTAGACTCAGGAAGCAGAGGCAGGAGGATCGAGAGTTTAAACCCAGCCTAAGTTACATAGCAAGTTGATCTTGTCTCAAAAAACTAGGTTGCTGGTATAGCCATGACTGAGCATTTGTCTAAGGCACTGGGTTGAATCCTTAGAACAGCAAAAACAAAGGAAAAAAAAATGTTTTTAAGTCTAAAACCTTGCTCAAAATGTAAAATTCAATACAAAGTAGAATATCAAATAAAACAAGAGCTTATATTTGAACACCCAGGAGATTGAATTATAAGTTTTGCTAATAGCATAGTCTCAACCTTTTATCCGAAAAAAAACATTTTAATAGGCTGCAGAATGTCAACAACTCAGACAACTGAATACATTTTATTACACTACTACATGACCACCTTCGTTTATTTAATATTTTGTAACAAATTTCTCTCTTGACTAATGCTATGGCCCCTGTACAAGAGCATCAATATTACTTACACCAATATAGGCTTTCCTGATATCCTAGGGTGTCTTAGCACCTCTGACATTGTCTCTTTTGTTTCTTCCATTCTCTCTTCATCACTGGAATCCACAACAAATATTACTCCATAGGACTCGGCATAGTAATTCTTCCAAATTCCTCGAATTCTTTTTCCTCCTCCCAAGTCAAAGATTGTAACTTCAAACTTTCCTTGTCTCAGATCAATTTTAGAAAATCCAACAGTAGGAGCTACATCTTCAGGGTGCTCTGTTTCAAATGATACAAAACAACAACCTTTAGACTTTAGTCAATACCATTAATTTATCTCTACTTACTTGAATTACATTAAAAGTGTTATTCATATGCTACTACAAAATGGAAAAATCATTTACTGATGGGAAAACACTACATCTAAACACATTGGTTTAACCCTTCAACATCACAGCCAGTCCAGAGAACTGCTACAACTTCTGTGATTGATAAGGAAAACCCAGAAACAACTTTTAAAAATTAAAAGGAGTTTAGAAAAATAAAAAATAGAAGCTACAAAGAATATGACAATTCTTTTTAAACTCGATAAATTAAAGCTACAACTGGAATAGAGAGACTTTTGAGGAAAGTGTACAAACAGAATTCATATTCACCATTACTATAAGAAAATGCTTTTTGTATGTTACAATAAATGTATAATTGTCAGGTTTGGGATGAGAAGAGTAATTCTGTATATGCCTACGCAAAGAAGGCAAAGGGGACACGTGATCACAACTGCCAAGGAGCAGTAATGATAATGACAGTCATAGAGGACTCTGTACAAGGAAGGGGGTTCGGCTGGAAACCTGGGTAGCAAGGGTAACCTATACATGGGAAATGGGTAGTCAAGCAAGTGGCAAGCAACTAAACACAGTAACTGAAATAGATTCTTAACACTTTGGGTTGGGTTTGCTTTGTGAGACAAGAAGGTCTTTTATGTAGCCTACATGGGCCTCAGATTTGTGATCCTCCTGCCTCAGCTTCTTGAGTGTTCGGATGACAGGTATGTGTGACCATGCCTGGCAAATCCATAAGTCCAAACAGGCTGACGCCAGAATGAAGACGATTCTGAAAACACTGAAGGTACCTGACAGACACAGATACAATTCTGGTGACTAAAGTAGAGCTATGACTGAAAATGTATGGCAGGCCATTTCTCAGAAAGATATGAGAATAAAAAGGAATAGACAAGTGAGAGCTTTTTAAACACTACAGACACTGCTGATTTAGTGGTTAGTTATAGGGAAAAGCTATGCCATCATGTGTGTCTCTTCTATTCCCTATCACTAGAATCTACTGTAAATCCTACTCCACATAACTTGTTTAGAGCTGCACAGTTCAAGAGTAGCTCAATACCACATAAGACTTTTAAATTTTTAATATTTTAAAAAATTATTTTTAATTATGTGTATGTGTATGTCTGTATGCCTGTGTAAGCAAGTTCATGTGAGTGCAGGTGCCCTCAGAGGTCAGAGGTGTCAGATCCCCTGGGGCTGAAGTTACAGACAGTTGTGAGTTGCCCAGTGTGGGTACTGGGACTAAACTCAGGTCTTCTGCAAGAGCGGTTCACTCTCTTTAACCACTGAGGCATCTCTCTATCCCCTTTTATATGATAAGAAAATGAATTAAAATCTAAAATTCAGTTCCTCAGGTATACCGGCTATATTGCAAATTCTCAAAAGCCAAATGTTGTTAGTAGCCCACCTTGTCAAACAAACTCAATGTAGACCAGTCCTATCACTACAGAAATTCTATTAAACAACACTGGTTTATAGTAACTAATTCCTACATTTAACAAAACATTGACTATGACAAATATGCAAGGCATTTTTCTAAGCTTAGTTACTATAACTATGAAACAGACTTGCAGGGTACCACCACTCTGTTTTGGAAACCACTTTAAAGACTGAGAGACTTTGAGCCACATTTTTGCTACTATCACTTAGAAAGACAAAAAGGTAAGGTTAGACCTAAAAGAGGTAGCATGATTCTTCTAAAACGGGATCACACAGATACTTAAAATGTGGAAGTAGGGGTTGAAGACGTAACTCAGTTGGTAAAGTGCCTGCCTATGCATGAAGCCTTGGGTTGGATTCCCAAGTACTGCATAATCAAGCATTGCAATGTATGCCTGTAATCCTAAGCACTCAGGAGCTACAAACAAGAGGATCAATCAGAAGTTCAACATCACCCTAGGCTACTTAGAAAGTTCAATGGCCACAGGAGACTCTGCCAAAAGAAAAAGAAGGTACTAAATAAATATATACCATTGTCACTCATCAATAAAAATAACTGGACTATGCTGGAACATAAGAGAACAAAGCTGTATCTCATGCCTATTTAGACAAGAACCTACAACAGAACAAAAATGTGAATGAGATAAAATGGCTATACTAAAAGAATGTAACAGTATAAAACACAGAGATCAAATAATGAAAATGGCACAGATTTTATGTTTTGTGAAAAAGCCCGATAAGCAATTCAAGAGGAAGACCATAAAAAGGAAGGGGTGAGATGATCTACAGAGGCTTCAAAAAACAAGGGGAATGCAAATAGCAATGAAATTAGAAACAGAAAAGAGAACGATTCTAAGCAAGAGAACATAAGAGATAAATCGGTAATTATATTCCTAGTAAACCAGCTCACACTAAGAAATATTTGCAAGTGTAGGCTGATGATATAGCTCTGTGGTACAGCACTTATCTAACATGTATGAGATCCTTTAAAAAATGCTTTCAAGGTTGTCCAGGCATGGTAGCACATATCTGTAATCGCAGCACCAGGGAGGGTGAGGCAGGAAGACATGAGCTTGAGGCCAGCCCAGACTACATAGTATGACCCTGTGTCAAAGGAAAAAAAATCAGGACCCTAAATTTAAGTCCTCAAGACTCAAAAGCTTTTACTACTGAAATGAGATCTACAGGACTACAAAAAAAAAGCCAGGACACAGAATACCCTTATTCCCCTCTGACTCACATTCAGGATTTGTGTTTTAAGACAATACTACATATTCAGGCACAATTTCTCCCCAGGAATCATTTTCTGATGATTCCTTCCTACTTCCATTATCAACTTCACCCTCTATCATAGTATCCTATTTTCTAAATGATTTTCCTAACAATCTATTACCTTCCCAATTGGCAGAACCATGTCTTTGCATCCAAAGGATTTACACATTGCATAAAAAACTCAATACTATACCACAACACTGCTAAAACAGTAAAACCCTGTCCATACATTGATCTTCCCTACTGTCCTTCCAGGTGTTTATTCATCCACTCCTATCATCATTTACTACAGAACTATTACAGATCAATTAAGGGTATAGAGATACATGAGCCTCAGTCCTGAGATTCACAGTAAAGTATATACTAAGACACAATAAGTCTAATATAAAATGAAAATATATAATGAATAAATATTTTAGGGGGCATCTATTATATGCTAAGTCATGTGCAAGGTTCAAGAAATACAAAGATCCCTCAGATCTATCTTCTGATCTACAGAATTTTGGGGCTACTTAGGAAACACATATAACAAATGACTATAACAAAGTGAAGATGTTAATATCCAACAAAGCAAGATATAATCCATAGAAAAAAACAGTTTCTATTAGGAAACACTATTGGACAACAAGACATTTCTAGATATTTAAAAAAAATATGGGCACACGAACATAATTTAGGAAAGACTACCTTGCCAGAGTCAGCTGGCAGCTCGCAGCCATGAGAGGAAGTGCTAGGAAGACTAGTCAGGGGTGTGCTGGTAAATAATTATCAAAGTACTTGGAGGTAGGAAGAAAACTCTGATGTTGTGTATGCCATTTTCAATAGTACAAACACTCCCACTACAGCTAAGTTAAATCTAACCCTAGCTACCAACTCAGACACCCAAACACAGATTTCAGAATATTGTAGAAAACTACCTCAGGCCATGTACGAGAGAGAAGACAGCAGGGAAAGCAAGTAGGAAAAAGAGGTGAGTTCCCAAAATCACGAGGTGCCATACTTGTTCTACACAACCTCTGTCTGGGCTGTTACCAGGGAGAGGAAAAAAAAAAAGCCTTCATTCTTGTTCAACCACTATTATTTCAGATATGTATTTCTGTTATACCAGTTGAACTTATGTCCAACTAACAGAATCATTTTGATAGTCATGAAAAGGAACAGTCAAAAGCAAAAGCAAAGTCCATGACAAGGAAGATTCTTTTAGATGAAGAAGCTATTGTGACCATTACAGGTGAGAGATGTTGGGGTATGGATTTAAGCAAGAGCAATATAGGTAGAAAGGAGGTACATCCATCTCAACAGAAACAATCAAATTCAAATGCCAAATTTTTAAAAAACTGAGAAGAACGAGCGGAAACAGAAATAAGTGCAACAGCAGATGCCATGGAGCTGTTTTACAAAGGCTGTCTACTACTCCCAAGGAACATGCTTTAAACAACTGGGATATCGAAATGAGCAAAATTGCCCTTAGAGGATTTACAGTCTAGAGAAGTGGAGAGATAAACAAAACTCAACTAGGAAAGGTACACGTAAGAATGGGTCCTAAAAGAGGACAAAGTCAGTTCTATTAATAGTTGCCAGGATGGTGATGGTTGGAAGCAAATTTTATAAAAGAGGAGACTACATGGTAAAAATCAATCTTTGGTAGCTCATGTGTGTAATCCTAGCATTTGAGAGGCTAAGACAGGAGGATTGCTAAAAGCCAGCCTGAACTACATAGCAAGATCCTGTCTCAAAAAATTAAAAGTTTTTAAAGCAGCTACTCAGTATGATAAGACCAGTGGGAACATCAGAAACAAAAATGCAAAAGATAGGAGGATTTATTTGGGGGACTTCAAATAGTTCTATATAAGTGAAAACTTTAAAAAAAAATTAAAGGTAAGCTATCAGTCAGTACCGAAGCTGACTACATAATATGTAAGAGCTAAAGAAAGTTAAAAGAGCAGAAAAGAACCCAAACCGCAAGGCAGTTGTGATTTTTAGTCTGCTATGTGACACCTAGAGTATTTTCCAGATCAGATGGATATGTGGAATTAGAATATAGAAAAGAAAGAGCCTAACAGAAAGGGGACGTTCTCAGCACACACAATGAATTAAATGGTCTGATTAGCCAATCTTTAGATGTATGCTTTCTTGACTATAAGGTCTGAAAGGAATGTCAGGTGTCACAGCATTCAAGTAAAGTCTACCTTGCCCCACGTTTGTGTACGGCCCACGAGTTAAAAAAGTGTTTTGTATTTTTAAATGACTAAGAATTTAAAGCAGATTATGCCATTACATGTGGAAATTACATGAAATTCAAGTCTTACTGTGTTAAAGTATGGTCACACTCATTTGCCTACTGTTACAGCTGCTTTCACACTATAGTGTCAGAGTTGTGTAGTTGGCAAGTCACTGATGGCCCCAAAGCCTAAAATATTTATTGTTTCTTTACAGAAAAGGTTTGCTGACCCCTGGATTAGATGACAACAGTGAATGCTCTGCAAGGATTCAGACTAGAAATAGCAAAAAGACTTTAGAAGACTACAGGGACATAACTGACATCCAATACCTCATTGCAGAATCTGTGGTGACAAAGTATCTTCCTCCCACAGAAAGCTGGGTAAGGTGTTAATAAGTAACAAATAATGCCCTCTAAATACTTAGTATGTGTGTTATTTCTCTTCTACTGCATCTAGAGGTAGCTGTGCAACTACAATCTGGCCAAACAAATCTAAGTAGAAAATGGGTATTGTGAAGCCAAAGGCTTGCCATTCTTTCTCTTCTTTTCTCCTTCCTGTTGTCTCAAACAGATACAATCCCTTAAGCTTATCAAAGAGGTCAAGGAGACTGCACCTCTCAATGTTTTCAAATCTGAAACATGTAAAAGGCTGGTAAGCAGGAAGCCAGAGCACGCACAGTATATTAACAACTCAAAGCAAAGAAGTGCACGATCTCTGCCCAATTAATACACAAAAGCAACTGACATAAATGAATGATTCTGAAAAAAATCAAGGGTTCAGAAAGCACACAAATACTTTCACTTACCTCCTTGGATTCCCTTTGCTGTGGCCGTTTTACCAGCATTGTCAAGTCCCACCATCACAAGAGTCACCTTTCTTAAAATAATGAAAATTCAAAATCACTTTCTTTGTTAATTTAGTATCGAAGGAAAAAATTTAAGCAAAGTTATTCATTCAAGCAACATTTAAGGAGCATATGCCACATATCAGCCAATCTATTGGATGCTAGGAAATAGAATATGGAATAAAGTATAAATTCAAAAGCAGAATTCATGGAGAAACCACTAAATTGTTATCCTCCTGTTCACTAAACAAAAATTATCTAATATACAAGATAAGTGATAGAAAGAAAGAAAGAAAGAAAGAAAGAAAGAAAGAAAGAAAGAAAGAAAGAAAGAAAGAAAGAGAAAAAGAGGAAGGAAGGAAGGAAGGAAGGAAGGAAGGAAGGAAGGAAGGAAGGAAGGAAGGAAGGAAGGGAAATGATATATAACCCTGAGTTATTGGTTACTATGAGTGACTCGATTCTATGGTATACTTGTCTGTCTTATGAAGTACACAAAGAAAGAACGCTTGCTAGGTACTAGGCCCAACTCTGTCTTTAAATACATAGCACCTTACCAAATGTAAATCTTTAACACAACTTGACAGATGTGATATGACATGGTTATTAAGTAGTAACTTTTTTTTTTTTTTTCCGGACAGGGTCTCCCTGTAGCCCCAGGTCTGGAACTTGCTATGTAGACCAGACTGATCTGGATTTCACAGAGCTCCACCTGCCTCCTTCACCACGCCCACACCACCAGGCCTAGAATGAAGAGGTAACAGTTCTAAAGAGGCTTTCAACAATCACAGTGATTGGTGCAATGTAGGACTTGCAGCTATTATATTATATAAGGTCTGTAACTGGTCCATATCCAAGGCCTATGACAGGTGGGACTGGAAGCTGCACTGTTGGTGCAAATATGATTATGAAATCATAAAGTTTAAAATATTTCGGCTGATTCAGCAAAACTCCACAGAGCTAAAAACAACAACAAAAATCTAGTTCGGCTTTACATCTGAAGAAATGTAAGCCCATAAAAGTTAAACAATTTGTCAAAAGTCCAACAATGAATCAGCCACCAGGTCAGCATAAATCCTAATACTTAACTCCTTCAACCTGAGAAGATTATATACTGCTTCTGCTAAACTGCTGACTCAGTCTTTCCTAAAGCTCATCTCTGTACCAGGGTGAACACCACACAGTGTAAAAAGTCAAACAGCTCATCATCATCATCATCATCATCATCATCATCACCACCACCGATCCAGGAATGAAAATCTTTGGGAAACAGAGAGAAGCATGAGGTAGCACCACTGCCCTGTTAGGGCCACAGTCAGAGCACAGGGGTTCAAAGTTCTGCTTGGCACAGAAATAGGGGTCAAGCATTATAAGCACTGGTAAATGATGTTAAACACAATTACACATTGGTGACATTGTTAGCTTTACATTTTTAAAGTCTTTATTGTGGGATATTGTGTACACATACACACACACACACACACACACACACACACACACACACTTCAGACAACCTGCACTGGCCTTGGAAGGCATTCCTGGTGAGGCAAGTTTTAGTGTACTTTAGATGACCATAAAGCTATTGTTCCTCAGGATGGGATGGGAGGAGAACCAGAGTACTTCCTCAGTAACTCAGCATGGAGCCACTGATTGACAAATTATGGGACCTGTGATCCTTCCTTATATAAGATGAATGACAGGTCCATATACAAGACCTGGGATGGTAGATACGGAAGCTGTGCTTTGTGCTGTCAGTGGTACAAATATAAGCCTTCATTTGTATTCCACACTATGCCACATCCTGCTCCTGGCTATACAGTCAGGCTGTTTGGCTCACTTGCTGAGTCATCTGGGGATGGGGTCTAATCAAAGGCTTCTTCTGAATGGCATTTTCTTTGTCTTCTTTGATTTTAAAAAGTAGCACAGGTCAAGCTGATAACAAGAAGAGGTGCTTGTGGAGTTACAACACCCATTACCTCAGTGGCAGCGACAGCAGTGCCAATGGTACCAGAGGCAGAGGATGGTGGAAGGAAAGAGAAGTCAGAAACAAAGGTGAGGACTGTGGGCCCCAGTTTCTGCAAGAGTTCTAGGGCGCTGCCAAAGTCCTAAGGGGTGAAGGTACCAATGCTCAAAAGCTGTAACTCCTGTTACTGTCAAAGCCAAGGATCGCAAAACCCAGGGTTACAGCAGCCAGTTAGGAGATTTACTGCCTGGCACAAAAAGGCTTTGGGGCTGGCACTGACTGCTACTACTGCCACCTGCTGCTAAGATTTGAGGATTACACTAGCTGCTGAGTGATAAGCCACTAGCAACCACTAGCAACCAGCTCGGGGATGCCCTCCACTCTGAATGCCTAGAGCCAGAATCATCTGGAGGCCCCTCAAAGCCTGGAGTCCTAAGCTCAGTCCATATGCATCAGGCACTCAACGGCCCAGATCAGCCAACACTAAAACCACCTACTCAGGAATTCTGAGCAAACCAATAGGAACCCAGGTATTACTTGTATTACTAATACAAATATACTCATTTCTCAATGGCAAAGATCCAAAAGAGGGCTAAAGACAGAATTCAGTGGGGGCTTGGAGAGATGGCTCAGCAGCTAGGAGAGCTGGTTACTCTTGCAGAGGACCTGAGTTCAATTCCCAGCACCCACATGGCGGCTAACAACCAGTTCCAGGGGAATCTGACACCCTCGTCTGACCTCTGCAGACACTGAATGACACATGTACTCTTACACACATGCAGGCAATACACTCAGACACAAAAATAATAAATAAATAAATAAATAAATAAATAAATAAATAAATAAATAAATAAAATTCAGATGGCAGTAAAGAGTGTTCTTTAAATTGTCTAGGCCTGGCTCTCTTAAATCTGGGCTTTTCTCTTTTTCTTCCAGATGTATTCAGAGTTCACATAAAAAGAGAAAGAATAGAGGTGAGGGTGTTATTACAGGAATGGGTCACAGGCTAAGGAAGAAACACTCCAGCTTATAAAAGCCAAACTGGTCATTTAGCAAATAATCACTGACACAGTTCTATACACACATTCTTAAGTATTTAAGATAAAACTACTTATTAGAGCATCCATCACCATAACAAAACACACACGCACGCACACACACACACACACACACACACACACACACACCAATTCCTCCTTATTAAGTTTACATTTGGGACAAGAGAGAAAATAGTACAACAAATAAGTCAAATATAAAGTATATAGTATGTTAGAAGGTTAAGAAGGTTACTAATGTGGAAAAAAAAACAAATTAACATGGATAAAGGTAAAGGGGACTAAGAGTGGAGGTGGGAGGTCAAGGAAGTTTCACAGAGTGATCAAGGCAGGCCAAGGTCTTGAAGAGAGAGTTACAAACATACTTGGGCAAGAAAGCAGAGCTAGTGTAAAGACCATAATGTAAAGAACATGTATGAGGTAAGGCACATCAAGGAGGCCAGTGTGGTAAAACCACTTTGAGAAAAAGAGACACATAAGAGGACAGAATGTCTAGGCCTTGTCAGCTTGAGTACGGACCCTGGATTTTACAAAGACAGAATCAATTTATTCTGCATGTTAGTTTCTTTGTTATCCAAGAGCCCTAGGCTTTTATAAAATTTTCAACCTATCATGACAGATAAATGGTGGTCACAGTTAAACTTGACTCAGTACAATAATAAATAGTATCCTTGGCCCCTAAAGCCACCCAGCTGCTGGTGAGGCCAGTAAGAATGTCAAAGATCCATAGCAGATGAGGAATATACAGAGATGAGGGACCATGTATCATCTATGTGTCTCTATGCATACGAAACATACCTGCATTATCAACTGTGAATAGTAATTTACTTCCTAAAAAGCCGAGACATTTAGAATGCAATTATTTTTTGAAAAGTTCAAAATGATTTGAATAATTAACAAATGAGAATTAAATATCAAGCCAGGCATGATGGTACATGCTTTTCATTCCAGCACTCTGGAGGCAGAGGCAGGCCAATCTCTGTGAGATTTAGGCCAGGCCAGTCTATATAGTGAGTTCCAGGTCATCTGGAACTGTAGGGAGAATAAAAATTTAAGTAATGAAATAGTTAAGAACAAAGTAAGTATAAAATAATTTCCTAAACAAAATAGCGATTATCCAGAAAGAAATGAATAATGTAGCATCATAACTATTTTAGGTAACTCAAGCCTTATGATCACTCCAAATACATAGCGTTTCAAACAGAAAGAGAAAGTATACAGTGCTCTTGGGCCTACAGAGTCTAGAAAAACTGACACTAGCAGTAAGATCAATCATTTTGTCATTTGTTCAGACAAGAGTTCAATAAAAACACATTAGACATTATGGATCCAAAATGCCCAGACATGATTTCTATGCTAAAGTGGCACCAGGACAGCTTAAAATGTTCATCTACTTCTGCAAGTCTCCAAATGCTACTATTAATTATGTTCTTAATATATTCTGAATAACATAATTTAAATTATAGATACTTTACTTTCCTGCCAGTTTAGTCATTTGAGCCTGACATGTGTCTCTTTAGTATCATAAGGATGAAAACTGAAAAATGAAATACAATGTTTAGCTCAAAAAAGACAAGTGGGTGGGGGTTGAGAAAGAGAAAAAACAGAGCTAGAGATAGCAAAGGTCAGCGAATCTTCTTAGCTAATGTTCCTCCTGAGCTAAACTGTCTAAGTTTGCCAAACAGTGGGAGGGGGAATGCAAGCAGAAGTTAAGGGATTCTGCAAACCCTTATTCCACAATCCCTGATAACACAAGAAGATATCCTATTGTCTTGAAGTTAATAAAACCTAGTATTAAAGAGTACATCTCAGAATAAAAAATAAATAAAAAGTTCAATATTAAAAAATAATAATAAAGGGGGGCTGGAGAGATGCCTCAGTGGTTAAGAGAACTGGCTGCTCTTGCAGAGGACCTGGGTTCAGTTCCCAGCACTCACATGGCAGCTGACAACTGTTTGTAGCACCAGTTCCAGGGGCTCAAATTCCCTCTTCTGTCCTCCTTTGGCATCGTGTAACA